CCCGGGCTGCCGCGGGGGCGCGCCTGGCTCTGGGCGGGGCTGTATTGTCCTCCTTCTGTGGTGGAGCATAATCAAAATGGCTTCCAGCTGGTCCTCGGCGAGGACGGGAGAGGCTCGAGGCCTTCGACGTGAGCCTTGGGCCGGGGAAGGCGGCCCTACTAGACGTGGAAAGGGGAGCCGAAATCCAACCCAGCGTGAGGCTCCTCAGAGACATACTCTTGTCACGTGAGCCAGGCGCAGCCCTCGCTGGCTTGGGGGAGCATCACACGTCCTACCTGCCAGCCCCATCCCTAAAGGTTAAAGCTTCACCCTCAACAGGCTGCCACCTGCTCTCGCCTTCACTGCGACGACCGCTTCCGCGCTGCTGGGAGCCCTCGACGGGGACTCGCTTATCATTCCAAGGACCTCCTTGCTCCAGGCCAGCCTTCCAGCTCCAGGAGGAAAGGCTCCATCAGGAGCGCACCAATACGAAGCTCCCACACCAAGCGCTTCCCCCGACGGCCCAGTGACCCCACGGCCATGGCCGAGGTGCTGCGGGACACAGCCTCGCAGTCCACCTTCTGCTTCTGAGTCCTGTGTTTATTCTCTCAGTTCCCCCCGGGGGGAGCGGGGACAATTCGATTCTGTTAGGTTTCCACCATAGCCGTCTTCTTTCTTGGTCACACAGCTTGAAAAAGATCCATGTCTCCACCTCTGTCACCCCCCACTCACTCCTCAGTCCTCTGAAATGTGGTACTGTGCCCCCGCCACCCAGCGCCACCAAAAATCGCCTTCACCAAATCCACCATGCGTCCCATATGTCATCCCTTTTCTTGAATTCCTAGAAACTTTGCAGGAAGTAGGTTTTCCTCTCACCTCTGGCCTGTCCTTTAGCACTCCTCGCGATTTTTTTTTTTTTTTTTTGTTCCTTAACTCTTCCCTTGACTGTTCTTGGGTTTTGTTCTAACTCCTTTGCTCTTATTGTATTCTCTCTCCTGGGACAGTTCTACCCACTTCCGTTACCATCTATTTCCTAATGATTCTCATATGGAAGTGGGTAGAACTGTATTTGTAATCCAGATCTTTCTTTAAGCTTCATACTATGAACATCTACACTTGGAGAGCTCAGACAAACTCAAACTCAGTAGATATCAACTAAAACTCATTTTACTTCAGGGACCTATCCTCTTCCAGACCCGTAGCCTTATACTTAATTGCATAAACCATTACAACAGCTTCTCCACACCAGAAGCCCCCGGGGCCATTCTTATCTCCCTCCTTTCCTTCCATACACTCCCCATCCAATCAATTTCTAATTCTTTCCTAGTCCATCTTCTAAATATCTACCAAATCTGTCTACTTCCTTTTAGCCATTGCCTTTGAGTGAAGTTGGAAAGGAAGAGGAGGAAAGACCTAGATATCTAGATGTGAGACAAGCCAAGGCAGGCAGATTGGTCAGAGATGCCAGGGAAGTCTAATTCCATCTGGTCCAGGGACCCTCTCTTCAGAGCTACTGCATTGCCCTTCTAAGTGGTATTCTTGTTTTTGTTTTTTGTTGTTGTTGTTGTTGTTTAACTGTCCTGTTTTGTTTGACTCCCATGGTATTTAAATGAGTCATAATCACTTACAGTGTTGGTTTAAATAAGAATCTTAGGGTCCTTTGCAGAGTGGCCCTGAAATATGCCATTTAACAAGCTTCTCTGATGATTTTTTAAGCTTAAAACAAATAAATTTATTCTCTCAGTTTCAGAGGCCAGAAGTCTGAAATCAAAGTATTAGGGCTGGAGATACAGCTCAGTTGGTAGAGTGCTTGCCTCACATGCACAAGGCCCTAGGTTCAATCCCCAGCACCACACACACACAAAAAAAAAAAAGAAAAAGAAAAAGAAAGAAAGAAATCAAGGCATTAGCAGCACTGTGCTTCCTGTAACCTCCAACTTTGGATGGTTCCAGTCCTTCTTAACTTGTTGGCTTCATCACTCCGGTCTCTGCCCACATCATGTGGTCTCCTCTGTGTCTCTCTGGAGATTGTTAAGCACACTAAAGTTTGAAAACCACAGACCATTCTAAAATAAAAATGAAGAAGTTCTTGAAGTTCTCTCTGGTTCTGTGGCAATCCTCTGCCTTACATGATAAACTCCAAAATTCATGTAAGATCTACAAAGCCCTTTGAAAATTAATGTAGACCAACCACTCTACCTCCTTTCTCATCATTTCCTCCTTGAAATTCTGCTTGGGTCATAATCAATTACTTGGGGTTACTGAATGTGCCTGTAGTTTCTCAATGCTAAACTTTTGTCCATTGTAAATGCTCAAAGAATGAGTAAATACATTAAAACTATCACTGTGTAAGTCCTATGGCAGTGGGGATACAAAAAAGGGCAAAGTCTCTGATTCTGCTGGACATAGTAGTGCACACCTATAATTACAGCGACTGAAGACAGGAGAATCAAAAATTCAAGACCAGCCTCAGCTATTTATTGAGGCCCTAGGCAACTTAGAAATGAAGGGAAAGAGACCAGGCAGAGATACACATAAGTGTTTATTTTTCATAGCTGACAAAGACCCTCTCTCTATAGGAGAGAGGCAAAATAGGCTTTTGAGTTCTGGGACTTTTATGGGAGAGGCTCAGGAATCAGAGCCAAGCAGGTCCTAATGCGGGGTGGTTAAGGGTTGGGTTGGTATGAGGGAGTGGTAAGACTTTCTCAGAAAAGCCCTTAGGCAAGAAAGTGAAACTTTTTCTTTAAAATGGTGGCTATCACTTAAGATGGACCTCCAGATGCTGAGCAAGGACTTTATATTCCCTCCTTTTTTGTTTTTATTTGGCCCCTTAGGGAACAGGGATGTAGGTCAATATTCTGTAACTGCTTCCTGCTGGGAAGGGTTGGCATTTGAATCCTTCATTAGGGGTGCAGGACATCATTGGAAGGATGATGGAGGTTGAGTGGTGGTGGAATGCTGTCCCTGGTGTCCCAATTTTTGGTGAGGGATTGGTATTCCTGTAACAAAAGCTGGTTTATAGTTTGATTAGAGATTTTTTGGATCTGATCTTGGACCAATCTAATGACGCAGGGGGCAAGCATTAACAGAAGGCCTATGACAAGGGGAGGGGTCAGGAAGGGAAGTGCCCACTGGAGAAGAGCTTTACTTAGCTGCCATCCTTCAGTAGAAGAGAGCTGTTTTTTCTGATGTTCAAGGTCTTGTTGGGAGTTGTTTTATCTTGTCCTTTACTATATCAGATTGGTTGACATAAAAATAGCATTCTTCCTGTAGGTATAGACAAAGTCCACTTTTTTCAGCCATAAGAAGATCAAGGCCCCTTTGATTCTGCAGAATCACAGTAGCTAAAGAATCGATCTGGGATTGTATGGTTAGTATGGTTTGAGAAGTTGCTGTAAATCTCCTAGAAATTGGAATGGTAATTCCTGGTAATGGTACCACTGGGAGGTGAGTGCAGAATAAGGTAGGAGGACAAAAATGAAAAAGGAAAGGGTGGTACTCATGGTTCTGCAGTGTCCTCGTGGTCCTCAGAGACCGAAGGAAGATTGGGGGTTCCAAGATTGGAGAAACGCAACTTGACATGGCCTGTGGGTGTCACTATATAATAAAGGGCAGAGAAAACCATTTTAAATGGGAGTTACGGAGCCAATATGGGAGGCCCTCAAGGCAGGCCACCATGAGAGTGGTAAGAATGACCCAATTAGGGTCCAGTCCATTTTTCAGAGAGTTGAGAGGAAGAGAGGAGGGCCCGTTGTTGAGGGTGGGGCGGTAAAAAGTACCAGGTTGCCAGGAGACAGAGTGGCAGAAGAGGAAGAGGCAGAAAGAACTAGGCTTTGCCAGAACAGCATTACTGTATTGCCAAAGAAATTTCCTAATGTGTGCAAGGAAGGGGCCAGAAAAGATGAGGAGTAAGGGGCAGTGGAAAATTAGAGGGAGGTGAGTTGAGCAGGGAGACAGACCATCCATATAGAAGCTCAAAAGGGCAGATGTTGACTATCTTCTTTGGGAGGGCTTGTAACCTAAGAGCCAAAGGAAAGAATTTTGTCCAATCTAAATGTAATTCAAGGGATAGTTTAGCAAAAATGTTCTTCAAGTTCTGTTGGTACATTCCACCTTGCCAGAGGACGGGGGTTGGTAGGGGATATGAAAATGCCAGGAGATATTGAGTGCCTTACCTACAGACTGTGAAACATGGCAAGTTGATTCAGGACCATTATCAGACTGGAGCGAGGAGGGGAGGCCAAGTCGGGGAAGAATGTGTTCAATGAGGATATTGGCCATTGTGGGGGCACATTTACTGGTGTTAAGAAAAGCCTCAGGCTGGGGATGTGGCTCAAGAGGTAGTGCACTCACCTGGCATGCTTGCGGCCCAGGTTCGATCCTCAGCACCACATACAAACAAAGATGTTGTGTCCGCTGAAAACTAAAAAATAAATATTAAAAAATTCTCTCTCTCTCTCTCTCTCTCTCTCTCTTTAAAAAAAAAAGAAAGAAAGAAAGAAAGAAAAGCCTCAACCCATCCCAAGAAGGTGTCAATGAGTACCAAAAGAAATTTGTACCCCTTGACTGGGAGCATATAGGTGAAGTCCAGCTGCCAGTCAGAGCAAGGGAGATGTCTTCTTGCCTGGTGTAAAGTGAAGGCAGGTGGGCAGAGATTGGAGGTAGGATTGGTTTTTTGGCTGATTTTACAGGAAGCAGAGAGGGTAGAGAGAAATTGTAGGTCCTCTGGAGAGAGTTTAAGGTGGGAAGTGAGAAATTGTTTTAAAGATGTGATGTTAGGGTGAAAGAAAGCTCTGAGGAATCCTGCCATACCTAGAAAGGAGAGAATTTCTTCCTTAGTAGAGGGCATTGGTATATTAGTGATAAGGCTCTTTCTGTCAACCATAATGGCTTTGTGTGTAGGAGTCAGGAAGAGGCCTAGGTGTGTTACCATTACCAAGGAGAGCTGTACATTGGATGGAGAAGCCCTATAGTCATGGGCAGAAAGGAAGTGAAGAAGTTTACAGGTGTCCTGATGACTGACCTCAATGGAGGGACTGCAAAGAAGGAGGTCATCAATAAACTATAGCACCATAGAGTGAATGGGATGTATGCATGCTAGGACCTTAGCCAAGGCCTGTCGAAAGATATGAGGGGGAGAACTGTCCACATCAGCTGAGTGGAGTTATAAGACTCAGGGTCTGTCCATGTAAAGGTAAAAATGTCTTTAGAGTCAAAATGGAGGGAAATAGTGAAGAAGACATCTTTCAGGTCTAGTACTGAGAAGTAAGAGGTCCCAGAGGAATGGTGGAGAGAGGGGTATAAGGATTGGTTACCATGGGATGGATTGATATGACCACAGAGTTGATGGAGCAGAGGTCTTGGATCAAGTGGTAGGAACCATTAGGCTTTTTTACTGCCAAGATGGGGGTGTTGTAAGAGGAATGGATAAGTCTAAGGAATCCCTTTTCCAAAAGGTCTTGAATGATACACTGTAAGCCTAGGAGTTTTTGTTGGGAAAGCAGGTATTGTAATTAGGCCAGAAAATGGAGGGGGTCTTTGA